AGTCGAACACTTATCTATCATCTTCAATAAAAACGAAAAATTGACTTATTTTAAACAGGCCAGAAAATTTGGTAGACAGATTAAATGTTTGATGCATAGCGATGAGTGATATGGTGTGGAAAAATTTTTTAAAAAAAAATTAACGACATTAATATTTCAAAGTGGAATATTGAATAATTATGATCACTTTCATATATCATATATGAACGACATGGGTGACATGAATTCTTTATCGTGAATTTGTTTTATTTTAGATGCCCTGAAAAAACGTGGAGAATTTCATAAAACTTGGTCCATAAAATCGCGTACATAGCGTTGGGTTTGAATATGTAATGCATCCACGCAGGGTAAAATATATATATATATATATATATATATATGAGAGGGCCAAAGCTGCCTTTGTTGAAGAAATTAATTTTGTCACACAGATTAAAGGAAAGCACGAGTAAAAATATATTAGTATTGCTGACATGGCATTATAGGTTCGCTGCAAACAGAAGAAGACAGAAGGATATATGGAAAATACACATGTTTCACAAATCAAATAAAATCTGTGGCCATTAATTAATGGTCGGCACATCTTAAGTATAAAACTAACCTATACGTGAATTTTTTGGAATTTGCCGAAAAAATTATAGTCGGTGATGATTGCTTCTATGACTATCACTACGTACTACTTATTATAGCTGAAGAAAAGTCAACCGTTCCTATGGTTGAATTTCAAAAAATTTTATGCATGAGAATTATAAGAAGAAAATTTGGATGCAAACAATATAATGCAGGCGAACAAAATTCTCGTTCGTGCTCATGAAAAAAAGGATGTTCTCAATTTTTTTTTTTTAATTCAAACTAAGCTTGCCAATTTTATAGAGCGATAAACAATATCTATGTACTTGAGTCGTAATTTTTTTTAATTCCAAGGTGAGAGTTAATTAAATAATTAAACTTATTTTGTGTGTGCATTGAAATAAAATACTCAAGTGATAAAAAGAAGACACATTACTTTCTCTAAATTTATGTCGAGTGTACATTGAAAACGAAACAAACAAAATATTAGGTAGATGAGTTACTGTTTTTACTCTTCTGGTCCTAAATATAAGACCCTTATACACATTAGTATAAAGGTATTATATTTAGAACTGGAAGAATATTTTATTTTTGAATAATAAGGCCACGGTAAAAAAATTTGCAGAAGAACACGAAGTCAAGTTAGTGACTAAAATGTCTCTAAATCTCGTAGAAAGGTTGTTGAAGATGTTAATATCAAAATTATTATGACATGAACTATTAAATACTCTTCCGGTTCTTAATATAAGACCTAATTGCTGAGTCAGTTTTGGTCATAAATATAAGACTCATTTCTCATATTTATTAATTTTCTCTAAATTACCCCTATGGATACTCCTTCAACCATAATCAAACACAAGAGAAAAAGGGGGTATTAAGAAAGATGATTATGGTATTTTAGGAAAAAAACATGTCACATTTCTTATAATTAATTAACTTACCTAACTTTCTTAATCTAATCAAATTAGTTAAATGGGTCTTATGTTAAGGATCGGAGGAGTATCATTTTGGTTAGTATGGAGTTGACACGTAATTCATGAGATCGTGAATTCAAATTTTTTGATATGAAAATTTTATTATTGAGTGATCTATTAAAGTTATGGATCACTTATGATCTGGTTGCTCTAATAGAATATGTGAAAATAAGGAGCCACTTTCTCAAAATATAAGATTCCCATACCTTGGCCAAGTTTAGAAGAACTTGCTGGTCGGGCTGGAAACAAGCTACGCCTCACTCTTAACAGGCCCAGTCTGTGGTGAGGTCTGTTGACTTGAACCTGGCCTGTGGCTTATGAAAAACTTTTTATTCGACTTGAGCTTGACCTAGCTCGTGGCCTATTAAAAGGCCTGATTTTTTAACAGGTTTCAAACATACATAAATTAATTTAAAATTACAATAATTCAACCCAATTTATTTAAAATACAAACAGAAAATATAAAACTATCAAATTAACATAATTTGTTTTTGCTAGTTGCTACAATTACAGCAAATCATCAAACCGCAAAGTATTAAATCTTCAACACAATTTCTTCTTCTTGTTCAAAGACCTGATAAGAAGAAACCAAATATGTATTAATTAGATTATAAAAAAATTTAATAACTAACAAATACAAGAAATGATATTATTTTTAGAATTCAAAATTTGTACCTTTGATTTCCTTTTCAAACCATGCTTGTTGCTTGAGAAAAGGCAAGACGGCTTGAGAAATGAAAAACAAATTAAAAAGCTAATATGAAAAACAAATTAAAAAGCTGATTAAAAAAAGTGGTGCAGAAGGCAAGCTAGGGTAGTTGGAGACCCTTTTGATCCCAATATTCAGCAAGGTCCTCAAGTAATTAATAACTACAATTACTATATATCAATATATATATGCATAAGTAATAGCACATTGATCAATCATATATCCTCCTACATATTCATGCTCGCTAGACGCTGATATTTTTCCAATTAAAACAACAATTGTAGGTAGATAAGAAGGAGTTGCCTTGATGACCGGGGTTAAGGCAGTGGGTAATTAGTTAAATTTTAATATCTATCCATTTACAATTTTAATCTTAAAAAAAATAAATAATAGGCTCAAGCCGCCTAACAGGCCTATAAACTTATTATTAGGCCTGAACTTGGTTTGATAAAGTAAATAGACCTTTTTACATGCCTGAACTTATTCTGATATATATATATATATAGGTCAAGCTAGGCCACTTATAGGTCAGGTCACAGGCCCCTAACAGGTCTGGTTTATTTCTACTCCTACTTGCTGGTCATAATCATTTTTAATTTTGCAATGCTATATATTCAGCTAAGAGATAGCTATATATGTTTGAAACTTGTTCAGATTTTCTTATTCTCTGGCTATATGATATGGCTTAGGAAAACTTGTGTAAGAAAAGTTTAGCTTTGCTGAACTTAACTAGTTATTGATTAGTTGGATAATGCGTTTCTTGTGGTGTCTATTATAATCACAACGAATTGATAAGTAGTTGGAAAAAAAATCTATTAAAGCTTCTCACCAAGACTAATTAAGACACTAGGCAGAATTAGAACATATATAGAAGCTTATAGAAGCATAAGGTCATAGAGTAAGGCAAAGCATGCTCCTGCCATGAAGAAATGATTAACGTACGTGTGTCCAGAATGTTGTTTTTTTTCTCCCCTAACTATGGATCGTTTGAAACTGCTGAGTTAAATTTAGTCATTCTTTTCATTAAAAAAAAATTAATTTACATTACTACGATTTGATTTGAATAGTACAATAAATTAAGGGGGGAAACCTTAGTAGAAAGAAGCCAAAACAATCCGAGCGTAGACTCAACTTACAGGATTGTAAAGATATTAACTTAAAACTCAGACCCAGAAATCAAGAAAACTAGTTGAAAATTCCGTTAGAAATTATAAAAAGAGAACATTGTAAATAAACACTGTCCAATATATAAAATTGTGATTTGAGACTCTTAATTTGAAAAATGACAAATAGAGGCATAGTCTCATATTGGAAATATGAATCTTGATGAAATGTTTGAAATGCCCCTCAGTCAGATTGTGATTTAGTTTGTTGAAATTGTCATTTGCTAAAATAAAGTTGTCATTTCTTATAATCAACTTGTCATTTGGCATACCCTTAATCAAGTTGTGAAAAGTCTACTGAAATTATCATTCACTAAAGTGAACTTGTCACTTCTCATAATCAATATGTTATTTGGCTTAGGGGCATTTCAGACATTTTATCAAGATTTCATATTTACAATATGAGACCTAGTTTTTATTTACTATTTTCTAAATTGAAAGTCCCAAATCATAATTTCACATATTAGGAGTCTTTAATTGTTATTTTTTCTTATAAAAAACCTGATTTAAAAGATTATTTTTAATTATTATTATGTTTTTTACGAGGTCTTACAAATGTCATTTCTCCAACGAGCAGTTACGTTGCATATTGATCATTTTATTATAACAAACAATATATATCGTTCTAGTGCGTTAATCCTTATTCGTGCTAGTCTTTCTCTCCGTATCATTATGGCTTGGGACTTTTTTTTTTTTTTCCCCGGTTAGGCTAAAATATACTTTTCTTTTTTTAACTTTATATAAGATTTTATTTTGATATCTTAATTTTAAAAAGTAAACTTTTAGTTCTCTAATTTTAGAATCGTTCATAAAAAACGATAATATTGAGCCCTTGAATATTGATAAGACACTACTAAATACTCCCTCCATTCCTTATTATAAGAGACATTTGATGCTTATGGCATGTTCCTATATATAAGAGACACTTACAAGTTGTCTCTACTTTTTTGTGTTGATTTACTATTTTACCCATATTTATTATTTCCAACTCACACTCTCTTTCCCTCCCACTTCTCTTTCTTTTAATAATTTAATTGTTCTCTCTCATGTTCTCTCTCCTTATTAATGAGGGCATTTTTGGAAAAAAATTATACTTTTTACACATTAATTGTTCTTAACTAATTTTAACTGTTTTTTTTATCAACGTACTTCGGTTATTTGTCTCTTATAATAAGGAACGGAGGGAGTACTATAATATTAAATTTAATTTTCAAAATAACTATGATTTTTACAAAAAATCATCATTTATGATTAATAATTTTAGAGTTAAAGAACTAAAAATATACTTTTTAAAATTAAAAAACCAAACTAAAACTTTATATAAAATTAAAAGACTAAATGTATATTTTAGCCTTCTGCTTATTTGAATTTATTGCCTTTTCTGATAACAAGAGAGAAGCCTTAACTAACGCCTACGTGATTGTCCAGTGTTAATTTGAATTTATTGCCTTAAAAAAGTGTTTACTGTTAATTGGGTTACAAAACCCTGATTTTTCTTAGCAATTTTTTTAATGAAAAACCACACAATATTTTTTTTTAATTATGCTTTGTTTGGTGATTTACTGCTGGCAAGATGCTTTGCAACAAGTTGGGGACGACCTCGATACCGAGAAAGGAAAGAGAGGGGCAGGTGAGTACTTCTCTCACAGTCGCACAGAGAGCTTCCGGTCAAACCTTTGAGCAAAGATGGGATCCATTGCGAAGAAGGGACTAAACAATTACGTTGGACAGCTCCGGCAACATCCTCTCAGAACCAAGGTTTCACTCTTCCTTTATCTCCACTGTTTCTCTGCTTCTGCTTTCATTTCCGTTGACCCTTTGTTTGATCGGAAGTTGCGGCCTTTCTTCCCCTCCCTTCGCTTTGGAAATCGACTGGTGAAATATCATCTGGGTTCGATTTTATGATTTTTATCGCGTTAATGTCAATTTCCTTCTCGGGATTAAATTAAACCAGGTAATCACAGCGGGAGTGTTGTCTGGGATCAGCGATATAGTCTCTCAGAAGCTAACGGGCATACAAAAAATTCAACTGAGACGACTTCTTCTCAAAGTGGTAAGCTCATAAGTTTCTAATGTTCATCTGTAACAGACGTATTGGTTTATTGATAAGCGAAAAAAAAAATCCGGTAGGAAATTACGTAACGAAGACAGTGGACCGTATGAACATAAGCTGTTTGTAGTAATGCTGAACAGAGTATGTATATGACATCCTTTGTGCCTGGGGAGATTTTTGTGCGCCTCGTGGTTACATTTTGATTTATGAAGGCAAATGTGTGAAACTATTAAAAAAAAAAAGGTTATAAAGCAGATCCCAAGATAGAAATTTTTTTCTGGTCATAGCAACCCAAGGTTGGAGTGAACTGCATTGATAAATCAGCTTTGATTCGTTTTCTACAAGTTATCCATTGGTAGACCATGGACATTTACCGAACACTTTGTGCCTTACTCCCTCCGTCCTAATTGCAAGGCAAAGTTTTAGATATTGCACAAAACGTGGTAGTTGATTTTTCCAACACCCCCCCCCCCAAAAAAAAATCCTGCTCCTCCTTATTGCAACAAGTTTTGGCATGAGTTAATTCCAAAACGATGGTTTAATACTTTATTATGGTGATTGATTTCAGCAAAGGGTAAAAATCACATATTCTTCTACAAGTTTAAGGATATTAACTGCCTTTTTTTAAGAAACTTGACATTGGTTACCTTCGTTTTCTAATTAGCACTGGAGGAGGTACCTTGAAACAATAAATCGACAATGATATATCTGATTCTTAATTTTTTTAGTTGTAAGAAAAGGAATAAATATAGCTGTCAATTCATAAGTTTTTGTTTAGATAGTTTAATTCAACTACAACCGTGTTGGGTGGCATGTGCTATGCGTTGTTAACGTGAACTTTTTATTGCATGCAGATATTTGGAGCTGCTTATCTTGGACCACTTGGTCATTTTTATCATTTGGTACTTGATAAAATTTTCAGAGGGAAGAAAGATTCAAAAACTGTAGCCAAAAAGGTACTAAAACTGCTGAACCACCTGTTTTTTTTATCTATTAGAAACTTTGAATTGGATCATCCATATGCTTATCTCACGCTTTCGCCCCCTGTGAGACTAACAAATCTGTTCAAGCGTATTACCGTGTATTTCAGCATCAATCAGTCAAATATGAATGAGATATTGTGGATAGTTTTCATGAATTATGTTAACTAAAACCTGAATAACCGATCACCTAACTTAACAGAGAGACCCAAAAAAACGTGTCTTTCTTTAACGGCTCCTCTTCCTTTACATTGTCTTACGCAGGTTTTGATCGAACAGTTGACTGTTTCTCCTTGGAACAACTTGCTTTTCATGATTTATTATGGTTATATTGTGGAAGGTTAGTACATTTAGAACACGTAACTTTTGTATTTACATCTTGGGCACATGGATACAGAGAAACAGGTGTGGAAGATGAGATCAAATAATTATTAATTCCTCTTGAGGGTCAAATTTTAGTTAGCCAAAGCATGAGTTTCCTGGTCAACTCGTGATTGTCAACATATTATTAATTCAAAGAACGAAGAAACTGAAAAGTTATAGTTCCAAGTAAAAGCAATCTTAAAAGAGCATGACGGCTAGTCAACCTTGAAAGGCATGCAAACTACTGCTCTTTCTGATGAAAAGGTGAATGAAATGCAGGACGTCCGTGGATGCATGTGAAAGCTAAAGTTAGGAAGGACTACCCATCGGTGCAATACACAGCGTGGACGGTAGTGTTCTATTTCCATTGCAGATGATGGCAACATGTTCCTTAGTAGAAATACAGAAATTTTTTTTTTAGAAACTAAGCCATTTGGGGAAAAAAATAGAATACGGTAATTCATGAACGTAGATGTTTCATCTGGGGGATCTACTGACACATCTATTTCACTCGGTTTTTATTGGCTTCTTGCATCAACTAGCTCTGCCCTATGTTGATCATAAGTAGTTTTAATTTAATCATGAACATGCATATAAATATAACAATTCGGAAATATGAGTTTCACTTAAGAGTGTACCCACGCACATGTTTATTCATGATTAACTTGATTCTTAAATATCTGTAAACTAATTTACTCCGATAATTTCTCAAAGAAGTTACCCTTTTCCCCTGACTTTGGAATCCCCCAAATGAATTGAATTGCAGTTCTGGCCTGTTGTGGGGTGGATAAATCACCAATTCTTGCCTCTCCATTTCCGAGTTATTTTCCAAAGCTCAGTTGCATTCTGCTGGTACTTATTTATTTTTGCCCTTTTCCCTGCTTTATTGATTTCCTCTAATCATAATTCTCTTTGGCTAACAACGACAAACTGAAATAATTCCTATGTGTATTTTATTTCAGGGGAATATTCTTAAATCTTAGAGCACGATCTCTGGTGCTGACCAAGGCCTGATGTAAATGAGAATACAGCGCAAAAGTGTTTAATTTGATCAGGCTTTACTGTTTCATTTTAAAATCACTGAAGAATCTTAAATTTTCCATATGTTGGAAGGACTTCATTT